TGTACTACAGGGATGTATTCTCTCGCCTAAGCTATTCAATTTATCCTTATGAATATATAGTGTCGGTAAAAAAATCTTTACCGAAGTGAATAAAACGCATAAATTAGAATTATTTTAATTTTACAAAACTTTGTTATATCACCCTTATGGTCAATGATAAGCTACCTTCTCTTGGGCATGAATTGAGCAACGTTCAAGGAATATTTTCTTTCCATGATCACCCACAACCTCTTCAACTCCTCTTTCAGCTGACCGTGATGTTGCACGGTCGACTCTCTTGAACCTAATTTTTCATAATATTCCAGGCGTTCTCGATGAGATTAAGGTGGGGTGAGTTACCCGGCCATTCCAATACGTTGTATTGTACTTTGTACTGTCTTGGCCTTGTGAGCAAGGGCACCATCGTGCATGAAGAAGTCACTTTCTTGAATTTACCAAAAGTTCAATAAATGTTATTCTAGAACAGTCACATAGTTGCTTGCCCTCATTGTAATAATCTTGGACAATAATACAACCCTGCCCTTCCTTTATTACCACTAAACGCATTCCATACTAATATACTTTCAGGATGTTTGAACATGACCTTTTTCCACAGCTCAGGTGTATCGTGCTGATACTTTTTACAAAAAGCTAATCTTTTTTCTTCATTGTTTTTGTAAGTAAGAGCTTCTTTGCAGTACTTCGACTTGGCATTGCTAGATTTTGCTGAAACCGGTGATGAATTTTTCTTGTTAAAACGTTCTAAAGGAGATCAGGATATTTTTTTTTGATTTCCGTAGCAGTTATGAAAGGTCAACATTATTGCACGCCTGATGATGATGTCAGTCCTGGATCATGTTTTTTGGAAAACTTTCTCTTCATTGGTGTTTCTTTCTACCCATATTTTTTACTGCAATTTAGATTTTAATATCTCAAACTTTACCCAGTAAGTGAAAAGAAGTGGCTAGAAAAAGACTACTACTCGCACAAAGCTAACTACAAAAGCCAAATACAAATGCGCAGAACAAAGTAAAGAAACTAAGCAGTCAATAAATAACAGACAGCTACTGTCGCGAGTGCCTTATCCCCTCTCTACTGAAATGTATCTCCACACTGTTGCAGAATCTCTTATATAACCAGCATGTTGTGAGATGGTCAAAATTATGTTTGGCAACGATGCACAAAACGAAATACGGAAAATTCCTATGTCGGATGATACTAAGATGATAATAAGAAGGATTATTGTTGATTTATCTGCAGATATTGAGGAAAATGTTACAAATAAACTTTACAAAAAAAAAACATCGCATTGCAGGTGGACGAATCCACTGATATTAGTGGCAAAGCTCATTTATTAGGATTTATTCGATTTGTCGACGAAGGTGAAATAGTCAGTTTTTATGCTGCAGAGAACTTACAGCACGTACAACAGGTCAGGATGTATTTGATTCCATAACGTCATATTTAGAGAAAAAAAATATATCATGGGATTTTTGCGTAGGAATTTGTACGGACGGTACCCCTTCCATCGTAGGCTCCATAAAAGGTTTTTGTACCCTTGCAAAAAAGCGAAATGAAAATATCATATCTACGCACTGTTTCTTGCATAGAGAATCTCTAATTTCAAAAACGCTACCAGCTACTTTGAAATCTGTATTAGACCAAGTGGTTAATGTCGTGAATTACATCAAATCAAGACCACTAAAAACCCGTCTTTTTAAACAACTCTGCATCTCAATGGAATCAAAGTATCACACCGAAGTTAGATGGTTGTCAAGGGGCAAAGTATTATGTCGAATTTATGAACTTAGAACGGAGCTGTTAACTTTTTTCCAAGAACAAGGTAGTGACACATTTACCACATATTTTGAAAATTATGCATGGTGCACTAAAGTGGCATATTTGGCCGATATTTTTAATTATTTAAATGGCGTTAACTCAAGTATGCAAGGCAAAAATGAAAATATTTTAACATCCACGGACAAGCTGTCAGCTTTCCAGAAAAAATTGTCATTTTGGAAGAAGCGCATTTTAGAGACAAATAAAATGGATATGTTTCCACTGCTTCAGAATCAAGGTGATGAAGATAAAGAACAAGAAATCAAGCATATAGTTACAGAACACTTATCACTATTAGAGGAGATAATTGCCAGGTATTTTCCATCTCTGAACGTAGAAAAATACGACTGGATAAGAAGTCCTTTTAGCACAAGTAATACAGCCAATTTCCAGTTTTCTCTGAACCAAGAAGAAGAATTTATTTCGTTGTCATCTGATCGTACTCTGAAAATTAAGTTTTCAGAAGTGAATGTTCAGTAATTTTGGATCTTGGTCCAAGAGGAATATCCACTTCTTGCCAAAAAAGCGATTAGTATTTTAATACAGTTTTCAACGTCCTATTTATGTGAATTTGGGTTCTCATCTTTAACAAACATTTAAAATAAGAAACGGGAAAGGCTGCTAAACTTAGAACAAGAAATGAGAGTAGCTCTTTCCCACATCAGGCCTGATATTGAGCAAATTTGCAAACGACACCAGGCACACATGTCTCACTAATTTGAAGTATTTACTCATATGATGTATTTTGAGAATTACGCTTTTGTTAATTTTAAAAATGTTTTTTGTTTTCATATTTTAAGTAAAATTTTACAAATTTGAGTACGTATAATAAAGTTTATTACAGAATTTATGTGCTAATCCTAATTTGTTTATCAATATATGCATGTTATTGCTTTGGTGTTCCGCATTTTTTTTTTCGGTAATTAAAAGTGTTCCGTCGCCACAAAAAGGTTGAGAACCACTGGATTAATTACTGCTAAACTGGGAATAAGCCACAATTAAAGATAAAAATACGTTTATTGACGTTTCAATTTCCACTTCGGAAATCGTTCTCAAAATACAAACAGTAAATTAAACAAATTTTGTTTTTTGTTACATAGTGAAAAATTCTTCTAATAATTTAATTTTATCTGACTCATTTATATTGACAATTCAGACATACATTATGCATTTTAAAGTAGACGACTTTAAAATGATATTGCCAATATTGTTGTGTTGCGCTCCTGGGACGACTTTACTTATAAGATAGTTCATTCGATTAAATGAAATCAACTTTAACTTGAGAATATCCGTCAGAAAAAATCATAGCATGTAATTCGTCTTTAAAAAGACGAACACATGACATGATGACAGTAAAATTCTCCTATTAGTGATTTCATAGTAAATTATGAGGGAAAAACCAGGAAAAAAACCTCATAATACTATCCCGACATTGTAAGTATTTGTTCGTGAATTTAGTTTACCTTCAACAAACATCAAAATTCTGATTTTATATGTTACGTTATTTAAAAAACATAAATGATGTATCCTCTATATGTTACTGACTTACTAATACTGGTATTGTCTTATTAATAACTTCCTCTTTCAATATTGGTAACCAGATCCTACTACATTCTGAACAAACTAACAAACACGTTGAGATCTATTTTGTCCAAAACCAAACCTAACAATAAACAAGAAAGGACAAAGAATTGCATTTATAAAATACCTTGTGAATGCGATCAGTTTTATTTAGGTGAATCATCAAGGCCATTAAATGTTAGAATAAGTGAACATCAATCTTATATTAAAAATAGAGAATTTGATAGATCTCAAATCTGTAAACACGCATGGGATAATGAACATAGGGTTCAATGGAATAATTCAAATGTAGTCCTAAAAGAAACGGATGGTAAAAAAAGAAAAATCAAAAAAGCGGCTCTAATTATGCTAAATGAGGCCAATTGTGTCGCAAATTCCTCGGCAGAATGTAGTAAGATCTGGTTACCAATATTGAAAGAGGAAGTTATTAATAAGAAAATACCAGTATTAGTAAGTCAGTAACATATAGAGGATACATCATTTATGTTTTTTAAATAACGTAAGATATAAAATCAGAATTTTGATGTTTGTTGAAGGTAAACTAAATTCACGAACAAATACTTACAATGTCGGGATAGTATTATGAGGTTTTTTTCATGGTTTTTCCCTCATAATTTACTATGAAATCACTAACAGGAGAATTTTACTGTCATCATGTCATGTGTTTGTCTTTTTAAAGACGAATTACATGCTATGATTTTTTCTGACGGATATTCTCAAGTTAAAGTTGATTTCATGTAATAGAATGAACTATCTTATAAGTAAAGTCGTCCCAGTAGCGCAACTCAACAATATTGGCAATATCATTTTAATGTCGTCTACTTTAAAATTCATAATGTATGTCTGAATTGTCAATATAAATGAGTCAGATAAAATTAAATTATTAGAAGAACTTTTCACTAGGTAACAAAAAACAAAATTTGTTTAATTTACTGGTTGTATTTTGAGAACGATTTCCGAAGTGGAAATTGAAACGTCAATAAACGTATTTTTATCTTTAATTGTGGTTTATTCCCAGTTTAACAGTAATTAATTTACAATGCCACAAGAAAATAGCTTCAGAACAATATTAAGAAGTATCGATATTTATAATTGTTGTTTTTTGAACAGTCTTTGATAAATACAGTTGTAATAGTCTGTCGTAAAAATTCCTATCATGCAGTACGAAAGTATAGTGACGTCCATTGCACACCACGCTCCAAACTGCCTGGTTTTCTGTAGTAATTTTTTCATTTCTTAGTCGTTATGTAGAAAAACCATAGTAGTTAATACAAAATATTATATGGATTTTTAATATTACAATTGCGTAAAGTTGTGCAAAATTGTGGTTACATGACGTCAATCATTATTTTTCAAATACTTGTTGGTTTTAAATAATTAACAAGTAATTAGATAAAATATCTAAAACATTGTAAGAAACTTGAAGTTTTAAATGATTTTGCCTCGTATTTAACTTGTTGATGTTAAAAATAGACCAACCGATATTATTTGTTGGTTACATTTGATTATTATTACCGCAGGAAATTCTTACCAGTTTCTGTACTTTCCGTATGTTAGTTTAATGAACAATAAATTTACCATGTTATTCTTTCTCTTTACAGCTAAAAATGCCTGTTCCATCACTTCAAAAACCAGCTCCAGTCTTCAAAGGAACCGCCGTCGTCAATGGCATGTTCAAGGATATTTCCTTGGAAGACTACAAAGGACAGTATGTAGTTTTATTCTTCTATCCATTGGATTTCACCTTCGTTTGCCCCACTGAGATCATTGCTTTCTCCGATCGCTTCGAAGAATTCAAAAAAATCAATACAGGTAGGTCAAATTATGTTATACAATTGATTGGATAATTGTAATTTTACATTATCTTCATTCGTTTATTAAGTGATCTATAATCCCTAGGGATTATAGATAACGCCATGGCGTTCAAAATCCTATTCTTGGATGAGGTGGATTATTCCGCTATGTTATTTATAGCTTGCTGTTTGTATTTGCTGCTGACGTGACTCTTACATTTCTTCCTGCTATTGCACTGAACTTTCCAGTCTTTAACATTTATTGTCCTTATATTATCTTTACATCATCCAGCCATCTTCTTCTGGGCCATAGTGGTGTTCAGTTAGTTATTTTTCTCAACATATTTAAGTGTGGGCGTTACTGTATATGTTCTATTCATTCTAATCGAACAGATTTTATGTAACTGACTATACATTCTCCATTTAATCTTCCCTTCCTCAATTTCGACATTTGTTTTCATTCTTCTTTCTCCCTCTCTTGTTACATTGAGGTTAGGATCGTTCTCATTACTTTTCTTTAAAATGTTAGAAGGCCATATTTCTTTGTGTAATTCCCTTCAGCCATTATTTTATCCCTTTTAATCCATTATTCCACTGCTATTTTATCTTCTGCTGCTTTTCCGTTTCGGAGGAAATTTCTGCTTGGTCGTTGTCTTATATTATTAGTCTTACTTCTTCATCGCACTGTGTCTCCTCCGTAGTAAATAGAGTTTTTTCGTAATATTCATCCCATAGTCTGCTAATATTTTGTAAAATTGTTTTGTTTTATTATTTTTTGTCTTTTTCAATATCCTCTAACTTTTCATTTAACCATTCACTTTTCTTCTATTTTATTTGTTACATTTATTTTTTTTCTCTCGGTATTTTGTTCTGACAGCTTGTTGATCCATGTAATTCTGGCGGAGCTTTTAGTTAAAAGGGTGTAATCCTGAGAAACTTTTTAGTGTTCCCTCTGTTTCGCAGTTTTGATCATACCAGTCTTTATTTTTTTTTTCTTTCCTATAACTTCATTTATTGTTTTATCTATTTTGCTTTTTAATTCTTGCCATCTTTCGTTTATGTTTTTGGGTTGACTCATAAGGTTGGATATATTTTCATTCATCTGTTGTTCAAATTTTTCTCTTATTTCAGTCGCTTTTAATGCTTCTAGGTTAAATTTATTGGAATTTGTTTTTACATGATATCTTTTGTCCATCTGAGATCGTTTATTTTTATTATTACCGGAAAGGGCCCGTGTCCGCGTCTGCCCCTCTGTAAGATCTCGTGTCCAGTGTTTTTGGTACTAACTCTGTGGTTGCTAGGACTTGTTCAATTTTATTTTCACTGACAAATGGGTGTCTCCAGGGCCAATGTCAAATGACGAATGGCCATTGTCATTTGTTTTCTCGTGTAGAGTTGTTTTCCATTTCGGACCAGATCTTTCAAGTATCCTTCTTTTCCAGGCTGTGCATTTGTGTCTCTCATTATTAATAGTTTTTTTTTTGATATTTGGTCACATACTGTACATTTTCTTCTTTTCCCATTTTTCCCCCCATCTTCTTGTATCGCAGCGATGTCTATTGTGGTTTTTTTAACTATCTTGTTACCTCTCTCATCTTTTCAATCCTTAAAGTCTTAATATTCCATGTTGCTATTTTTAGTATATATTTTTTGCTTCCTTTGTATTTTTTTTGTTCTCTGATTTTATGGACGTTATGTTATCTTTTGTTGTTTTTTCTTTACTGTCATCATCAAATTTAATCTTTTCCTTATTCTTTATCAAATTCGTTGCCGTTATTTGAGTTTTATTTAGGTTTTTTTTTTTTAAGTTTTTTGCTATTAATTTTAATATTTTTTTATGTTAATCGCTGTTTTGTCTTCCTCCATTTCCGTAAGTTTATTATCCTTCTGACTCCACTTCCATAATGTCTTGTCTACTATAACTTCCAGTATGCTGTCTTTGCTCATTTACCTGCGGATCTAAAATTGCTTCTCTTCTTGTTTAATTTTATCTGGATTTCCCTATCACTCTTATTGAATTCACCGTCGATATACATTTTTTGTTTTTGATTCCTTTCAACCTATATTTGTTTTTGAAGATTTTTAATTTTTCTTTAAAATTTTCAATCTATAATGCCCTTTTGAGGTCCTATTTTATTTATTTCTTTAATTTTGTCCTTCACTTTTATGTTGGAAGAATTTGGCCATTCCATCTTTTAATATCTTTTTATCTACCGAATCTAGATGAAAGCCAGTTATTACCAGATTAATTCTTTCGTTCTTTAATTTCGCTACTCTTGCTCAAGCCATATTTCTTTTTTCTTTTTCCATTTTATCCATCCTCTCCTCCATTTTGTTCTTTTTGTGTTTGTTTGTTCGTCCACCAAAACTATTATTACAATTAATTCTGATGAAATTTTGTATTTGGCAAATGCATGTGCCATACAGCAATTCACAAAATGCAAACTTTTTTAAATAACAGAAAGGCAAACAGAATTATTCTTCGACGAGTGACGGCGAAATCAGTTATGATTCTGTGGTTGCCCAAAATTTTTAATAAATATATTCTTAGCTTGTTCGCAGATGAAAAAATGTTTTTCGCCGATAGCAGTCTAAAAGTAATTATTTTCGCCGCAAATATTGTAGTCATTGAGAGTACCTAACTGAACATTTTTCGACAGACTTTCGAGAGTTAGTCCTATCCGGTGTATTATAAATAAATTATTATATTTTTCGAAGTTCGCAGCAAATAATATTCTAGGGCCAGAAAGACCACCACCACGTAATCACTGGTTTGATGCTGAGTGTGAGGACATTACAAGAAGAAAGAACGATGCATATAAACTGATGCAGCAAAGAAGAACCCGAGAAAAACAGCAAAAATATAAAGATCTCAGAAAAGAAGAGAATAAAAAAAGATCATAGAAGAAAAAAGTGAACTCACGAAAATAGAATATTGGAAGAACTTGAGGTATTAAAAAAGGAAAACCAAACAAGAAAATTATACAAAACTCTGAATAATGCAAGAAAGGGATTCAAACAAAGGCTCAGACTATGTAAGGATAAGAAGGGGCATATACTAAATACAAAAGAAGAAGTACTGAAAAGGTGGGTGGAACACTTTAAAGAACTACTTACTATAGAAGTAGAAGATCTAGATCCAAATCAACCACCCGCAGGAGCAAACAACAATTAACCATTAGAGCCTCCGTCAATTCAAGAAGCACGAGATGCAATAAAACACCTAAAAAACAATAAATCTCCAGGAAGTGATGGTATACTCGTGATATGTACTATAACTTATTAAATGTGGAGGTGCTACTGTGACTAATCAAATATATAAAATAATACTGAGAGCCTGGAATGAGGAACAAATCCCGGAAGAGTGGTGTATTGGAATCGTTTGCCCGTTACACAAAAAGGGTGACCAATTGGATTGTAGAAACTATAGGGGAATAACCCTCCTTAATACAGCATGCAAAATATTTTTGAGGATCTTATATGGTCGCCTAAGTGCATATTCAGAGGAACTTCTCGGGGAATATCAAAGTGGCTTTAGGCCTGGTCGATCAACAACAGATCAGATCTTTGTGCTAAGGCAAATACTGGAAAAAACCAATAAATTCAATATCGATACATACCATCTTTTTCTAGACTTCAAATCTGCCTATGATAGTGTCCTAAGAAATAAATTGTATGAAGCCATGAATGAGTTCCACATCCCCGATAAACTGATAAAATTTGTTTAAGGCTACATTGCGTAATGTAGTTTGCAAAGTCGAAATACAGGGCGAACAATCACAGGCGTTTGGAACGCATGTTGGGCTGCGACAGGGAGACGCGCTGGCGTGTCTCCTTTTCAACATAGCACTGGAAAAGGTGATCAGAGATACCCGAATAGACAACAGAGGAAATATTTTTAATAAATCATCCCAAATTTTGTCATATTCAGATGATGTGGACCTAGTTGCCCGCACAACACGCAAGCTAGAAGAAATGTTTACCACCTTCTCAAATGCCTCAAAATCTATAGGCCTGCAAGTAAATGAGGAGAAAACTAAGATGATGGCATCAACATCCAACAAGAGAGTCAGGAACATCGGTCCCCAATTCACGGTTGATAACTCTACCTTTGAAGTGGTGGACAAATTCACATACTTAGGCTCCCTGATCACCAAAGAGAACGCCATAACGCAAGAAATCAAGCGAAGGATAATAATGGCAAACAGATGCTATTTTGGACTGAGTAGACATATTAGAAGTAGAAGCTTACGCCAAAAAACATACCATATACAAAACCCTTATACAGCCAGTGTTGACATATGGATCGAAGACATGGACCATCTCCAAGGCAGACGAAGACCTTCTGCTTATATTTGAACGAAGGATCCTGAGAGGAATATTTGGTGGCATCTGTGAAAATGGTGTTTGGAGGAGGAGATGTAACTACGAGGTATACCACAGATATAAACAAATATTTGGTGGTAAAGACGTAGTATCTCCTATAATAATAGGAAGACTAAGATGGACAGGACATCTAGCAAGATCACAGCAGAACAACCCTCCTAGAAGAATCCTTATGTCACAACCCGTGGGAAGTAGAAAAAGGGGTAGGCCAAAACTCAGATGGAAGGATGGTGTAGATGAGGATGGTAGAAAGATAGGCGCAGTAAACTGGCAACGGTTGGCAATGGATAGGACTGCCTGGCGTAATAGACTTGGGAAGGTCGAGGCTCTTTCATATGGCTGTAGCACCATTGATGATGATGATTTTTCGAAGTTACTGACTGTATTTTATTGCTGATAATTGGTAATGTTACGTCACATGTCACAACCTACTCGTATTTGTGAATTTCTGTAAGCTCACACATTGTGGTCAAACCAACACTATAAAACAAATTACCAGATAAAAAGTTTTTCTATTTAATTCTAAAAATAAATCAAATCAAAATTGATTTGGTGAATAGTTCACTGCTTATCAGCTGTGTGCTAATGGTTACCTCATTTGTATATTTTCTATAAGTCACGTTAAGGTCAGTGAAACTAACTTTTATCTCGCTACACTATTCTACATCGATTTATTTTCTATACAATGAAATATGTATATATTTTCTATACCATCAAATATGTATAGTTATTGAACAAATTTATTAGGTTTCAAATTGTTTATACACTTAGATACAATGGCCTGATTCTGATAATATAACAACGCCGTGTGCCGATGAAAAATGATGTTGAAACCACACACAACAAAAAGAGATGTAAAAATGTGTGTTAGTTCACAAAATACTGCTATTTTATATACGTTTATTTTAACCCAGATAAGGCCGAAACTTTTTTTATTTAATTTTTGAAATATTTACTTATTAACGCTTACAAAAGTAAAGTTTGGGAGAGATTTTGCTAAAAATATGGTATTATTTCATAAAAGGGTGTCTGAAAGGGTGTTTAAAAGCCCGGTGGCATAATCAATAGCTATGACACTAACAAAAAATTTAAAATACCAAAAATACTTTTATTTTTAATTAGTACAACATGTTATAACGACGATGGTCGTCGAGCTAACTAGTGCCCAAGATGTACCTCTTCTCCTGGAGTATGTTCTCGTCCAGTATTGTCTAGTTGAAGTCATTACTCGGTTTTCGGGATTGTTGAACACGTTGAAAAAATAGATAGGATTAGATTGGCTGGACATTTGTTGAGATCAAATGAAAATTACCCACCCCGACGAACCCTATTAGCGGCATCAGTAGGAAATAGGAGTAGATGATGAACACGAATATAAGAACGGCGTTGGTCTCAAAGATATCTGGTATCAAGGGCGACCTCGTCTCCTGGAGTTTTAGGTCACTATAAATCCTAAATAACAAATTTAAAAAAAAAATTAAACGGACAAGGTCCACGCTGGACACCAGATAACTTAAAGATCATCGCCGTCGTAATATTCGCGACGTAATGTTCAGCAACCCCAAAAATCACCGAGTAATGACTTTTGACTAATTCTGAATAAAAACAACATAAAACACCAGGAGACAAGGTCCACACTGAGCTCTAGGTCTCTTGAGGATCATCACTGTCATAATATTTGTGTGCATCGACCTCGACAACTCCACGAGTCATGAGTTTTTACTGATTTCGAATGAAAATACTAATAACATAAGACTTTAGAAGACGAGATCTACCCTGGTCACCGGGTAGCTCTAGGACCATCGTCGTTATCATATTTGTATTCAGCAACCTCGAAAACTCATGATTTATAAGTGTCGACTGATTTAGAATGAAATTAACATAGGAAACGGGGTCCACACTGTGCACCTTTAAGCTCGAGGACCATCGACCATCATATTCGTGTTTAACGACTTCGAAAATCCCCCGAGTTTATGAACCCCCCGAAAACTCCCCGAGTATAAATTCATTGACATTTTAAATCGCCGGTCGATTCAAGCGTTGTTTCTGAGAGCAATGTTCATTCTACAGAAACAGTGCTAATAAACATTTTCATTCAAAATTCTCAACTATATTTCTCCTTTAAAATCTTTTTTTGTACGGCGTATAGATTCTTGGTATTTTCCTCCTCCTTGCATCTCTTTCTAATGGGTTAGATTTTTTGAGCATGTGACCTAAATGAAAAAAGTAGCTTTGCATATTCTCGAAATATACATAAACAATGCTTACTTGCTCTACCGTAAGTCAACAAGCAGCAATATAAAATCTTTAAAATTTCGAGAGATGTTTATTTCGACGCTCCTTGGTGATAGTATGCCAAAAGGTACACCAAATCCTCCAACAAAATTTCATTACCTTGAAAGTCTACCACCAACAGAAAAGAAACAACGACCAACAAGAGCTTGCCGCATACGCACCACTCGTAGTCGTCGTCGAGAAACAAGATATAGTTGTGGTGCATGTGAAAAAAAGCCTCCTTTATGTGTAGAACCCTGCTTCAAAGAATATCAACGTGAATAGAACTGTTCAAGCACTTTTTTATTGAATTTTGTATGTTTCTTTTTCATTTTGGAATTTTTAGTTTGTGTCCTTTTACCATAACCAAAAATAATAAATAAATCTGTTTCTGATGTCCACCTATATTTTAATAACCTTTTGTAGACGCCCCGATATAAAATGTCATGCATACCCCAGGAATAATCTCGTGCTCGGTGCCACGAAAAACATCTACAAAACGAGATAACTCGTGGTTGGCGTCTAAGAACAGATAGCCAACCACGAGTTATCTCGTGCTCGGCAGTTAACGAGTTAAAACATTTTTTTGTACGGCGTACAGATTTTTGGTAAATCCGTGTTTGTCGTTTTTTCCTCCTCCTTACACCTCTTTCTAAGGGGCCGGATTTTTTTAGCACGTGACCTAAATGACCAATGGGAAAGTCACGTGGTCGTTAAAACCCGTCTATGCACAGGATTTACACGACTGTAACGTTTTTTAAATAAAATGTCTTTTCACTACATAAATCAGTACGCGTCGTCTCCTAAAAAGTAACAGTATAACTAAACTACAGGTTTTTGTAAAGTGTGTTTAAAAGTATGGGGGTTTTATTTAAGTTTTAAAGTGAGTAAAGAATTTAGTTCGTAGCAAAGCGCTCTCGTCTTAAAAAGCCATCTTCAGATCTCTGCTAGATGCAGAAACATTACATTATAACTTATTATAAGTAATTATTTAAATATAACAGTATTTTACAAAGAGTATTTGCAAGTATTACAGGGAGAGTATTAGAGTATTTACAAGAGAGGGATCGCTTCGTTCAAAAAGATAAAAAATTTCAACAAAATTAAAAAAACTGAAAAAAGTTTTAAAAAAATTAAAAAGACAGCACAAAAACACAGGAAAAGGTTTGGACGTGGTTACTATTCAAGTAGTCAAGTAATTATTTAAAAGAGTTGTTTCTCCTTTCTTATTTTTTTCATGAACTTAACCAGAATAAGTTTAAGCTAAAAAATCACCTTAAAATGCTAGTTGAAACAAAGAAAATATTTTCTCGGGATTTAAACCTGTTTTTGTATACCTGTTCTAGCTTGCGTAACAGGTCCGGTCTTACATTACGAATTTTTTCACAATAAAACACCTCGTACAAAAATGAACAATATTTTTCTGTACTGAATCATCCAGAGAGCTTAATGTTTTGTCTTTGTTTTAATAGCTGTAGTTGCTTGCTCAACCGACAGCCAGTTCTCTCACTTGGCATGGATCAACACTCCAAGGAAACAAGGAGGTTTGGGCGAGATGGCCATTCCTTTGCTTTCCGACAAATCCGGAGCCGTTGCCAAAGCCTATGGAGTATTGGACGAAGCAACTGGAATTCCATTTAGAGGACTTTTCATCATCGACGGAAAAGGTAAAACATTTTACATTAATAATAAATAAATCGTTTAGTTTATGTAGATTGTATATACGAATTGTTTGTTTGGTTTTCTTTAGAAGTTATTTTATTATATATTCTTGAGTATTTTCTACAATTTGATAACTTCGGAAAGAAAAAGACAAAAGAATAATGAAAAAATCAAAGTCTGAATAAAGTTTTATCTTATATTTGACACTGTCCTTTTTTTTGCGACTAAAACTATATCTTTCATGTTATTAGCTGGTAGTAATGACTTGGTGGACCCCGTGTGTAGAAAATAAAGAAGAAAAATAGTTCTAACACCGAAACGACGATTTTCTCAGTCCACTCCATTATTTGCTACATGCAAGAGCCTATCTAAATGTGTTCTTTTGTTTTCAGTCGTTATTGATAAGTAACTGATCCATTTCAACTTATTTTTATCAAAAGCTTTTTTAGATTTCATGGGTCTATTTTCATCGTAGAGTATGAATTTTGTGTGGTGAGTGTCCTGCTAAAATATTTGTTGTTCATAGGGATTTGGACTCTTATTAAAATTAAAGTATGATTATCTAGTAAAAAGCTAGTTGTCATTATAAATAACCTAAAAACAATATTTTACTTTATTTTTAAGGAATTTTTTTATTGTTAACATTTAGTTATAGGCTAAGGCCGTTAAAATTGTAATGGTTCTTTGTAAGTACTTAAAAAAATGATTACAAACGAGTAAAACATCTTTGAAAACGCTTTTAATAAATTTTCCCCTTCATTCCATTTCTTAGATAAATTTGATGGCACTTCTTATGTCGACATTCTTTTTCCAACTGCCTTTTAAATCTATTAAATCTTTCATAGTTTTTGCCGTACGTTTCTTCGTTCTCTCAATAGGGTATTTGTCTCTTTGGACAGTTTTGCTTCTTTTCCAGCCTTTTTAGGGCAAATTTTCTTTTTGATATCTTCAGTGCATTGATTATTTTGTGACAACTGTATCGGATTTGATATACTGTATTTCACAATCGTAATGAATTACTGTTTGAATTATATTGTCTATTTTTTTTTGTTGAAATCGCCAATTATGGTGTTTTTAATTAAGCACTTCCTCTACCCTATTTAAATTTATGAAACAAGGAGTGAGAAATCATCGAAATTTTTTATTCGTTTGAAAGGCTCCTTGATGCCATTACGCGTAGAATATCATTATCATCATCATCAACCTGTATGCGTCCACTGCTGGACATAGTTCTCCTTCGGCTGTTTCCATCTGTCTCTGTCTTGTGCGGCTTGCATATAGTTATTGCTAACACGCTTCAGGTCGGCAGTCCATCTAGTTGGTGGGCGTCCTCTGCTCTGTATTGCTTCTTGCCTTGGTCTCCACTCTAAAATACGTTTTGTCCATCGGTTGTCTGATAATCTGGCGACGTGTCGTACCCATTTCCATTTTAACGACGTGATTTTTTCGATAGCGTCTTTTATTTTTGTTCTACGACGTATCTTTGTTTGGGATTCGGGAATCTTAAGTCACGCGAATCTTATTAACTACCTTTTTTATGAGTGTTAATGTTCCCGCTCCATAGGTGAGTACAGATAACACACAGTGGTGATTTTTCTCTTGGGTGAAAAGATTTTCCTTTTGAGGCATATGGGTAGATCCAATTTAAATACATAGTTTAATTTACCAAACGCTGCCCAGGCTATTCATATGCTTTGTGGTACCTGCAATATAATGCATCATATGTGCATGTCTGGTTATCTCTGCTCAACCGAGTTTCATATGTCCTAGGTACTTACACGATATCCCTTCCATCCACAGAAGTATTTCGATTTAGCACCAGATTAGTCTTTATTTGCGTCTTGGTTATATTAATCTTTAGTCCGACCTCCAAGGAAGCGTGATATAATTTTTCAAACATTATTATTGCATCATCCATACAATCGGTTATGAGGACGATATCATCTGCAAATCAATGACTGAGCTTTATGTTGATACCATGCTCGGTTATATATGCCTTCTTACAAGTATGTTCTAAAAGCGTTGTGAATAGCTTTGGAGAGACTGTGTCTCCTTTGCGTACTCCTCGCTGTATACAGAACTTATTTGTTTATTGTTCAGATAGTCTTACGCTAGCTGTGGCATTTTGGTAGATACTTTTGATTATGTTTATTTGGTCTATTCGGCATTCTATCAATGCTTTAACATTTTCTGGTAGCTTATGGTATAAAATGCTTTCTCTTAGTCGACAAATATCAGTGCCAATGGTTTGTTGTATTCTGCAGACTTCTCTATCAGGTTCTTTATCACTAGTAAGTGGTCGTTAGTACTGTATCCCGATATAAATCCAGCTTGTTCTCTAGGATGATAGAAGTCTAATAGCGGCTTCCCACGGTCGGCGATATTGCGAACTTAAGCGGACCAGCACGCACCACGCACCGTGGGAAGGGTCTCGTCCGTGCTGGTGCGTCCTATCCATCTAGAGTCGGTAACATCAAAGGTGCGGTACATGCTCGTGCGACGCGATCCTAGCGCGTCTGTGTTTTAACAGACGACAAGTGCAAGTCAGAAGTTTTTCATTCGCTGACACGAGTAGTTGTCTGTAGTGTTGTCAAAATTGTTTTGCAGTTTTTTGCTGAAAATGGAATGGACAAACGTTGTTTTTGATTTTTTAAATTTGTATCAATATGAACGAAGTTTATGGAATTCCACGGCGCCAGAGCATAAGAACCGGAACGATGCATACGATGCATGGAACCGAATAAAAAATCAATTGAAGAATATTACTATTTCGATTAAAGAATTAAAAAAGAAGAGAGATAATTTAATGTCGACATACAGAAGGCAAAAAACAATAGTTAGAGAATCGATGGAAACTGGTAGTGGGGCTGATGATGTTTACAAGCCTGAGTGGCCTTTTTATGATATAATCAAACACTACTGTCACGGACCTACACAAACTGTCACGGACCGTAGGAAGAGCTCTGTCTGCGGTGCGTTGCCGTCCGTGCTGATCGGCTGTCCGCGACGATCTGTAGAATTGCCAATCGTGGGAAGCCACTATAATATAGCGTCCAGTCTTTTTGATATAATTTTTATATAAATTTTATATATGTGTCAAAGCAAATTGATAGGGCAGTAGTTTTTTAAATCTGCTATATCTCCTTGCTTGTGTAATAAAGTAATAACTGCATTATTCCATTGAGAAGGAGTTTTTCCTTGGTAGATACATTCGGTCAAAAGCTTGGCCAAAGCCTGGATAATTTCATTTCCACCTAGTTTGATCACTTCGGTCACTACTCCATCATCGCCAGTAGATTTGTTATTTTTTATTTCTAAAAATGCCGTTTTGATTTCGTACGGAGATATTTCTTGTATTAATTCTGATTCCCTAGTTTGTGATTTAGGACAGGGGATGATCTTGCTTTTCTTCGGTGCTCTCATACATTTCGCGATAAAAGGATTCGACAACCTCAAGGATTTTGGCTCTATCAGTAGTAATGTTTCCATCTTTGTTTTTTATTTTGTACATATTTTTGTTGCCTATGTTGTTCGTATTTCGCCTCAAAACTTTTAAACTTTTGTTTTCTTGAATTATTTTAGATATTTCTCTTGTATTGTTTTCTCTTACGTCTTTTCGGATTGACCGGTCGATATCTATTTAATTTCTTCATTGTTGTGTAGGTGGAGCCGTTTTTTGCCGACAGCTGTCTTCTTTTACCTATTCGCTCTTTGGTATTTTGACTTTGTTTTTGTTTGGCATCGTTTGCTTGATCTCCATCTTCCGTTTCGTCTTGCAAGTCTTGTATAGAATTTAACATTGTTTAAATAGCCGCCGCGACTTCGATGCGTGGCGCGCATGCGTAATGTCCAATTTTCTAGCACTCCTTCGCACAAATCAAGCTGAATTTCACCGATGGCATGCGTTATGTTGACTTTGAGAGCTGCTGCTTAGCTGCGACTTAAGAAAATCAACAAAAGATTAGAGGTGTGGCTAGTTCACATCATCTTCACGTGAGATGACCATGCCCTCAAATCGCTCATGCAGAAATCGAAATCGACTGCCTTGGAAAGAGTTTTCAGTACGAAAACTCTTCTCGGTAGGACGATTCTGGCGATTATAGTTGTACGCTATATCCATCCATGGTGATTTGGCAACACAGACTGACAAAATGACAGTCAACTTGACAGATGTACAGGCAACAATTTGGTCGCTATCAACTGTCGAAAGTATGTGTGATCTTATATCCGGTATCTATACATCTAATGTATTTTATGTTTTATGAATGTCTTTTTTGGACAATGAAACCCTAATGGGGCTTCTGAAAGGACATCTTGTCCTTTGTAGCCGAACTTATGACCTCACTTTAGAATCTTTTGGTTTTTTTCTCTTCTCGCTAAAACCTAAGTCTTATCGTTTTATGTTTTTCAGTTCTTTTTCCAGTAGTTTTTGCTCGGAGAACAAAGTTTGTGCGTTATAAGATGTTTGCAGTTGACGTCTATATTGGTAGCTCTTCCAAAATTCCTCGCACTCCGTGCTAGTCATGTGGATTGGGCAGCTGGAGACTGTGAACCGTTTTCTCCTCGTCTTTACATTTAGAATTTGGAGTTATTTAGTCATACATCTAGGGTTATTCCGCCCAATACTCAATCACCAGAGCCTGGTTAGATTTATTTTTAGCAGCTTGCACCGAGGTTGGCTCTGTGGATCAAAGATTTTCTGTCTAGTACCTTGCAACGAATACCTCCTTATACCTGAAAGATATATATTAATAGAGTTCGGATTTAAAAGCATAAAGAAACGCACTTAAAAAGCATAAAGATTATATATAAAAAAAAGCATTTTATTATACAAAAATAAAAGCATGCAGATAGGCATATAAATTTTGACAAACCATAAATCAAAAATGCTTGAACCTAATTTTTATCGACGCACCTTAAAGGAAAAAATATCATTTCTATTGAAAGCATGAAATATACACTTTTTATCTGTGTATACTTATACTTGGCCACTACTGCCGGATTCATATTTGTATATTTAAGGTGTTCTCTCAATCAATCATATAAAAATGCAAAAATGATAACAATATATATAAAAAAGTACCGAATAAGCAGAAATATTCAAAAAGGCATACACTTAAAAAAAGCAAACAAAAGTATAAAAAAGTGGTGTCAAATGACTTATATTTGCATATTTCGTTCATATTTAAAAAAATATATTCTTGCTCTTATTACTGACCATAAAAACTATGTTTAGAAATCCGTACTCTATATTATATTAATAACGAATTGGGTATCTGCATTACTAGTCTATAAGTTAGGATCTGCATTATCAATTGTCCCAATAAATATCTAGTCAAGTAATATTACATCGAAACATTTTTTAGAATAGGATAACATGTTTTATGATATATATCTACCAATATGTGATTAATTCATTAAACAGTGACGGTTTTTCAGGTGACTTGAGACAAATCACCATCAACGATTTACCAGTCGGACGCTCCATCGACGAAACCCTTCGTTTAGTGCAAGCCTTCCAGTTCACCGACGAACACGGCGAAGTATGCCCAGTAGGATGGAAACCTGGCCAGAAAACCATGAAACCCGACCCCACTGGCAGCAAAGACTACTTCTCAACAGTAAACCACTAAATTCCCTTACTTTATTTTCGATGTATTAGGAAGTATAATCTTCATGTATTATTTTTTTTAAATAAACCGTAATATTGGTGAAATATTTTACCTCGTTTTGTGCCAAAACCTTTTCTTCTCATCCTGGGGGGTTTTAGTAATGTTCGAAAAAAGGGAGGTAAAGACAAAAATAATTTTAGCACTTTTCTTTGTTTCCACATTTCAGTTTTGCTAGTAACTTGTCCACTCCACAAGGACTACTGCTTAGCATCAGATGACTTAGCGCCTTTATACGGAAAAATAGGCTCTGTAATTAGTGCCTGGAATGTTGAACACAAGAGAGGATGGTGGGGTGTGGCTTTGTGGTGATCGAGAGGGGTTCATATGTGTCTAATGTTAAGAATTCGACTCAAGCTGTAGATCGTCCGTCGAAAGTCTCTACTTTGCAAAGATAACCGTGTGCACTACATAGGCTGGCCTCCATGTGCATATTGCTAAATTTAAAATATTTCAGGATAAAAACATGTTAAGGACATTGCTCTTCTTTCTATTATTTTTTTTGTATATAAAAGGGGAAAGTAAATTGATTAACAGAATCAAAAATCTCACTTTGTTTCGGACTTAAGGGTGGCACTTTTTTCAAATCAATATCAACCGTCGACTAACGATATATACCTGGAGTCTACTATAATCGATGCATTTTTCGGTCCAAAATCGGTTGAGGCAACAAATTGAAACCAGAGTTTTGGAAATTTCAGTACTTTTACGATCCTTAGAAAGATAATGTTGAGTTGATATTCGTAGATTCGTTATTTATTTCTTCTGTTGGTTTGGCTTATGTAAAACAGTTGAAAATCTTCGCAAGAACTTTCATAAACACTGTTCGATGGATATTTTGTCTTTTTCGGATCGGAAGAAGATAACGAAATTTTTGGCAAGTGCTAAAGATGATTTTGATTCCATTTGACTCGAGAAATTTATCAAAATTAAAAGTACAATATATATTTATAAACGTGTAACTTGCTAAATGGGCAGAAAAGAGAAAAAGTAACTCGTAAAGGCGTTGTAATCACGTTGTTATCGTATAATGCATTATATAGTGTTCTGTTTATGAGTCAACTTATTATGAAGATTGTGTAGTGTCGTTCTATTCTAGCCAATACACCAACAGCCAGCCGTTATATTATAGTCATACAAATTGAACAACTAATTCAAGCAGAGGTTGGGCCTGCTAAAATTTTGAAGACTGTGGGAAATAGCGGCATCTTTTAATGTACTGCCAAGCGGGCAGATTCTTTCGTCTTTCACGTGTAAATTCTTTTCCATTTGTCACTCTGATGTGCGAGTGTTTGCAACGTCATATGTAAATGATGAAAGGGTTGCTGGTATGAGTACATATTCATGAATGTTAGGGAAAAGTCTTCTACTCACAATGTCAGTTGAAAAAAGAGAATGAATGAACAAGAAAAGTCTTAATATCTAATTTAAATTTAAAACATACGTACATATTTCTACTTAATTTTATCGACTCGTCACATTGACTGACTATTGATTAAGTCCTCTGTACTACTCAAATAATTAATTTTTTGTCATACACATTCGTTTATATTATATTCGTTTTTTAGCCTTAGTTTCTTGAGTTCATTTCGGCTTTTTCTGTTATTTTTTGGCTAAAAATTAAAACTTCCATGACCCTAATTTACCTAGACATGTTTTTATATGAATATTTTTTTCTTCTTTTTCTTTTATTTGTCATTTCTGTGATTGTAGGTGTGGGGATCTGAAGACACCGAATCGAAAAGAAAGAATCGTGATGAAACTAATAAAACCAGCGAAGAAGAATCTACCCATAAACGTAGAAAAGTGTAGTATTGGAACAGGAATGTGCAAAGGAAGTGAAGATATGTGCCATTGATGAATGATTATACATTTAAGATTTCTGCTACCTCGAATTTGTTTCTATTTTTGTATGTTTTTTAATAAACATTTTTCATAATTTTAGTGCTCTTATTCAACTCAAAGTTCTGTATTTTTATAGTGTGAAGATTATATTTGGTGCTATATTTTTTTAATTTGTTATAGCACTGATAACTCACACATAATTGTTTCCGTTTATTTATAATATGTAATATTACAATAAGTAGTGAATTGTTGAATTGAAGAATTATTTGTAAATTTGGGATCTACACAAAAATATAAAACTTATTCAGTTTAGAGATCTTCTTTAAAATTAATATGTAATATTACAATAAGTAGTGAATTGTTGAATTGAAGAATTATTTGTAAATTTGGGATCTACACAAAAATATAAAACTTATTCAGTTTAGAGATCTTCTTTAAAAATAATAGTGAGTGTCACTTTAGTCTTGTTCTAGTTGTCAATGGTTTTCAATCTGCAGAGCATATTTTTGGGAGCAATTTGTGATCACTTGTTTAAGTCTTGAATTGATGGCCATTTTTAATGAAGTGATTAGGTACATACCATGGTGCATTTATAATGGATGGTGAACGCTGGATCCCATAACTCCATACTGGATTTATGACTTATTAATAAACTAATACCTTGTTATGTAGAGATAGTTGTAATCTTTTCATGAATATATGGTTTTTCCATGTTAACCACCGATCGAGATGCATACCCAAGTGGTTGACATGACCTTTTTGTAGTAACTATTGGTTATTTATAGACTGGTGGACATGTGTTTTTTCTATGAGTGAATGTTACAGTGATTACCTCGCTCACGTTTACCTATATATTATTAAGATTGCTCTGTAGTAGCTCGGAAGCAACGATGAGGTTTGGGTGTGAAGCGAAAATTGCTTGGTCGTCTGCGTACATTGCTGTGATGGTATCGTTGCTCGTACAGAATCGCAGAATTCCTTTTTTGGAGAGTTCTTTGAGAATTTTGGCGGTATCCAGGAGACTTTTTAGGTTTCAGATCTGATTGTACATTGTGGTGAACTTGTTCGGTAGTGAATTATTAATAAGGATAGCTCAAGTTGATACGGTGATTCTAAAAACGTTTGGGTCTCCTTTTTTATGTTAGTGTTGTTGGCTGGAAAACATTCACCAGGTGAATGGCAAATGGATCGGCTTGTTCTTTGTATGTTGCTCATAGCTCATCTTCCATTATCTATTTGAATAGGAGGGTTGATTAACTAAAGTCTATTTAATTTCCGTGTTGCCTTATAAAGTGAATATTCGGTGATTTCCGTGGCAGATGAGTCTTTGAAGTAATACTGAATACTATTACCCTTTGCTAATACTATGCTTATTTGGAAGAATTTTTTGATTGGGCGGTAGCTTGGTTCAATTTAGTTTCATCCTGAGACTCGCATGCTCTCTGCCATGTTTTCCTTAATCCTCGCTTTTCTGTATTTTTTTTCTTTGATTTTATTAGACAGTTATTGTGTTTTATTTCCAACGGTCTCGTTGGTGTTGATAGCTAAGCTGGCTTTTGTATTATTTTAGTAAATTGTTCAACTACTTCGTCTACATCGCTGATACTTTTCACAGGTACTTTTTTGTATCCAATTTGTTAACAATAATATTCCGAAATATTTCCCGATTCGTGAATTCATTATCTAGGAATGGTGGATGTTCCTTCTCAAGAATTTCTGTGGATACTGTAACCCTTCTAGGAGAGTAGTCGAATGACAATTCAAAAAAAGATTGTACTATTCGAAATTGGGGTGGGATTCCTCTAGCGATACAAAAATGGACCAAGTCTGGGATTGGTTGGCCAGTATGTAGGTTCACCTGTTGATAGAGACCGACGGAATATGATTTTTTTTTTGGCCGAAGCCGAAGGTGACTAAAAATATACCTGTTATATGTTAATAATTTAAATAATGTGCATTCTATTTTTATTAACTGATAAGTGATAAACAAAAATATGAAATTATGAGATAAAAAATCTAACATTTATACATTATTTGGTAATAGAAGCGACGATAAAAATAAATAACATTAAAAACAATAAAGCAAGTGAGTATTTCTGATTACTGGATCTGGCAGCTAATATTCGAAATCAAACATCCTAATATTATAAGTAGAAAAAGAAGCTTGTCAGCGTTTTCTCCTAACAGATTAGTTCTTCTGTCAGCGTATAGTTGCCCAGCAGAGCTGAATAACTGCTCACTAGGTACACTCGTTGGTGGTGCCGATAGAAATTTTTTGGCTGCAGTTTTTAAAGAAATATAGGGACTTGATTCCCAATAATGAAATATGTCGGCACTTCTTAAAAGCAAAGCCTCTCGTAAATACGAATCTAGGTAATCTGCATTGGGATCGTTGTCGTTATAAATTTCTTGTGTTGTATCTAGAACGGCTGTGACAAAAGTATTATGTGAATTCCAAAGACTATTGTTTTCTAGATCTAGTACATGTAGTTGTACGTGATGATGTTGAAGCGATAGCCGTAGGAACTTTATCTATATAATTAAACTTGTGAAGCTATCAGATTCACGTAAAAATTTTAAAATACTTGCTTTACATGTAATTACTTACTCGTCTGTCAAATATTTTGATTTAAAACGAGGATCTAGAAGAGTCGCAATAGACAATTCTGGCAAATTTGTAATATAAGTGAATCTTTTAATTAATGATTCACGAAGTCGTAGCTTTAATAAACTTATCTCCTCAGAGTCCTGCTCTTTTGCAGAAATTTTACCATCTAGCATTTTTATTAGTGGGATAACTAATGATACGCAAGCAGAATCGGCTGAAAGATCTACCGTCCCTTGGTAAAAACAAGTTAAAACTGAAATTAAATTGTTGATTCCCATTTTGTTGAACTGGGAACTTTAATTCCACCACGTTCAGCCATATAAAAATTGATTGCAACTTTCTGTTCGAATAGCCGCTCTAACATTAGGTAAGTGCTATTCCATCTTGTTTCCACATCTCCAAAAGTTAAACGCTGAAAAGCTTGTCCTTCAACTATAGAGTATGGTAGCATGTCGACAATAATAAGGTCCATGATACCCTTATCAATCCTAGATAATATCGGATGATTATCAGGCTATAGAGCTGGTGACTTAAGTTCCATTACATACTCCAATACCTAGATAGAAAATGAGAAAACCATTTAGTAACACATAACAACGCATGGGATATGCATCTCCGCCAGTCGATTTTTGTTTTCATTACGCATACCTGGTTCATTTTTTATAATATAAATGCGATAAAAATACACTGACCTTTATAAGACGGTGCATTTGTATTATTGGCAACGGGTCTACGCAGATTCGTGGAAAATGTTGTCATTAATAGTGTGTATAACTAATTTAAAACTTAACGTACAATATATATTTAAGATAATTACTATTCATTGCCATATACAGTTGTCTGCCTTTCGAATTCATTAATCTAGATCCCAAGTAAGTGTGTTTAGCATTTCAGTCACCTATTGCAAGAAACCTATTGCTGAGTGTTATAAAAAACTCTTGATATTGTTTGTTTAATGAGTGTCATGGTGGACTGTAAATGGCACTAACACATTTCTAATCACTTGTATTTAAAACGCTAACAATATTGCAATACTTGTTCTTTTCAGCGTTTCCCATTATAAGTTTTCGTTTTCGTCCATCAGCTCACTCTAATAATCAGCTCACTTTTATTCTGTTCTAAATTTTCTCTGTTCTTATTGTATCCACTCTGGTGATTTGTAGATATCTTCTCATAAAGTCCAGCTCAACTGTTCTTATTTGCTTTCGTATTAATGTTGTCATTGGCCATACTTCCTCTCCAAATAGGGTAATATTCATTACTATGCTCTGAAAGATCCTTTTTTGTTTTATTTGATTAGAGTGTTGTTCCATATCACTTTATAGAGTCATTTCATGGCTTGTTTTCACCGTGCTATTTTCATTTCTATATGTTTCATACAAGTTCCATCTCGGCTTATCATTGAGCCGAAATACTTAAAAGTCTTACAACTCGTAATAGTTTCTTCTTCTAAACATAAGTATTCGATCTTACACATATTTATCTTGAGTCCTCATAGCTTAACTTCTTTCTTTAATTTCCTTATCATATATTCCATATCTTGTGCAAAAATGACTTGGTCATCTGCGAAAATTGGTGAATGTAATATATTCTCTTATACTGGTATGCTTACCTATTCTTCCGCATTTTCTATATCATCTTTTCAAAGCCCTTCTTTTGATGTATATGTTAACTTTATTTGTACCTCTGTTTTTTATATAGTCTTTGTGCTATATTCACCTATTTCATTCTAACGTGCATTTTTCTCATTGCTTCCCATAGTTGTTTTCTGGGAACGCTATCATATACTTTTTCCATGTTGATAAAGGTCATGTATTTTAATATTTTTCTCTTTGTTTTTTTTTCTATTACATGCCTCAAGATGAATCTACTATCTAGACACGATCTGGCTTATTGAAATCCGGCTTGTTCTTTGCCATAATGGTCCATGTGTTCTATTTTTTCTTTTATTAATGTGGAAACGATTCTTGCTATTGAAGGCATTACACTGATCCCTCTGTAGATATTTTGAACAACACTCATATAAATGATACGATTCTTGCGCCTTCGTATTTCAGCAGTTCCATTTTTATGTTACCTGGTCCTGGTGCTTTGTTGTTTTTGGATTTCTTTAGTTCTTTATTTATATCTTCCTCTGTGATTTTAGCTTCATCTGTTATTATTGTTACAGGATCTTGTGAGACATACTCCGGTATATTCTCCTGCAATCATTGTATGTAATGTTTTGTCCTCTCCTTTAATGTAATTATCTGTATAATGTGAATACTATATGTTTATGTGCATATTTTTACTTATTAGTTCTGTTTTTTTATTTCTTTCCGTACTTCCGTTGATCTGTTATACCCTATCGTATTGTCTATGTTTCTGCACAATCTCTCCCAGTATTCGTTTTTCTTGAGCTTTATTCTTTGTTTCACTTGTTGTTTGAGTACTGGATTTATATCGTTTAGCCATTTATGAAACGTACTTTTGTTCCTTTTAACCATCTCTTGTAGTTCGATACTTTATTTTTCCAAATATTCATTCTTGTGTTATTCAATACTTCGTTGCTGCTAGTAGGTACATATCAGATCCATTTCATCATCTTCACTGAACTCGCATTACTAACCAAGAGTGGAAACAAAGGTATCAGTTCACTTCGATAGAAATCTCAACTTATTAGAAAAACTCAAGAAACCAAGAGAAAATGCACCAGCACCGAAGAGACTAATCCAGAATCCAGCTGACGTCTTTAAAACCAACCCTCTTTTTAGGCCATTCAGTGATTCAGTCATGAATCACGTATCAGATCCACTTCATCATCTTCACTGAACAAGTCGCTTCACTAACCAAGAGAGGAAACAGAGGTATCAGCCCACCTCAATAGAAATCTCAACTTCATTAAAATCACTCAAGAAATCAAGGGAAAATGCACCAGCACCGAAGAGACTGATCCAACTGACGTCTTTAAAACCAGCCCTCTTTTTAGGCCAAGAAGATTCAGTTATATGTGATCTATGTTCGAGCGGTGATGCATGTTGTGCCAACATGGAATTCTACTGCACAAACCAACTGGAAGAACCTGATGAGATCGAGACACCACTGAGGGTGGTGGCCGTGAAGAGGGCGAGGAATTTCTACTACTAGGCCACAAAAGACTCCTTAAGACCAGAGAGAAACATAGACTCATCGACTGTCTAATCAGTGTCTAAGATAGTTTAATGCCGAAGACAACATGTAAATAGCAGGAGCCCAGCAGCAATAGAACCAGGAACGATGGCTCAGAAAATCAGAAGAAATATAATATATTGTTCCGAATTTCTCTATTTATTATCTAATCTATTTTAATAAGTATTACTGAGGGAACTGGCAATCATGAATCTGCACAATTTGGCCTAATCACACGAACATCTACATTCATAGCACCTAGGTACTAATAGACTACCAGCTCTACTTATTAATTTCCTATCAACTGTTTAGTATCTGCAAGATTTATATTTGATTTTATTTTATTCTTTTATTAATTAAATCTATTTTTTTATATTGTTATTAAATTAACTACCACTGATCTCAAGGTCACTTCTTGCATATTCTATAATATATTTTTGAATTATTTACTTTGTTACACTTTGAGACTGTATTTGTTTGTGAAGCTAAAATCTAGGTCTGAGTTGTCTAAAAGTTGATGACTGCACATAATCTTGGCAAAATTAATACTAGCTTATATCTCCGTATTTCGTTAATTGTAGATGACATCTTTATTCTGTTGCATTGAAATAATAAAAAAACGCTCCTTTAGTGTTTTGCGGTTGGTCAGTTCGTTCATATTTACTCTGATACTAGATATTGTGCCTTATAAACCATCTTACGTCAAAGTGAATGGTTATAGAGATCAATGTGATATCCATTAGACTCTGTCCAGATAGGTCCGGATCTCGTCTGCAGTGTAATTTCATAGGTTTTTCATTATTTTGCTCATCATAAATTTTATCTGATTATCAAGATTTCCATTTTATTGTGGCGTTTTTGATAGCTTCTGTACTCTGTATTTTCACATCAAACAATCACAAAATGAATAATTTTCACAGTATTCTGTTTTTAAATCTTTTTGTCGATCCAGCCAGTCTTTTTTTGTCATATCTCTTCATTGCCAAATTCTTTATTTTGTTATAGTATTATCTTTGTCTCAATCATTCATTTTCTTGTAGCATATTTCTACATACATAATCTCATTATTAATCTCTGTATAACTTTCTTAACTTTTTATTATCATTTTAGTTTTTTTTTATGAGTGTTTTTACTGGATAATTTTGTCTCTCTTCTTTGGTTACACCTCTTTAGTGTCAAGCTATCCATTTTATTATATATTTTTTATCTTCTTAGCTGATTAATTCATTTTCTTTTAGCATAATTCTTCATAAATCATCTCATTCAGATTTCTGTATATCTTTCCTAGTTTTTCATCATCATTCGGGCTTTAAAATCCTATGTGTGCCCATAGAGAAATAACAAACAATAACTTATTGTTATTTCTCTATGGTGTGCCCTAGCATTCTCCTACTTTCACTCTCCATTACTGTTTTCCACCAAGTTTCTCATATCATCTTCAATGTTATCAAAGATTTCCTCTTATTTTTTAATCTTGAAAGGATTTTTTCTCACTTGGATCATTTTGTAGTATCTCTTTAGTGCAGTTATTTATTTTTTATATTATTTTTGTCTTAAACTCTTGTTAGTAGATTCATTTAGGTATTTTCTTTTAACATTTCTTCAATACAAATCATTCTGGCTTTACAACCCTATGTTAGTCTGCTCAATTTCACTACAGTCTTACCTGTCCATCTCCTTAAAGTATTCATGACCATGTTTCTCATATCTTCTTTAATATTGAAATTCACATTAACAAATTCCTCGTTATATCGAAGGCACAGAGAATGAATGATATCATACAAAATAGCTTTCTTTCATTTGATCCATTTTGCTCTAACACTACTAAAAATATTTTCATCCATTTATATTTTCCTCTTTAGAACTCCCTGAGCATACAAACATAAAATGAGAACGAAGTTTCACAGTACAATGTATATAACTGGATACCCTGGGAGGAGTACATCAAAGGTTTATAAAAAATTAAATTAGAAAATGTAGTTAAAAGTTTTTATTAAGTACAGTACAAAAAAATAATATAAATAAAAAGTAAATATAAAGATCTATCTCTGAGTAACATATGGCAATGTCGAAACCATACTACAAGCCACTACGTAGAGCACCCCAAAAAATAAGTTTAATTTTGCAGTCTTTTTTGGTACACTATGAATATCTTTTGACCTGAATTGCTTCTCAATTTTAAATGCCCCTGGTAAAGTGACGAGAGGTAGCATGAACCACTTAGAATATTTTAACGAAGCAACCATAAACATAATGTAAGGCGTAAATAACAAAAATGCATATAAAACATGAGAAGCTGTATGTCCTATAATTATAGCTAGAGTAACAATGCCTACTTTTTTATCAGACTCTGAGTCTCTAGTATTGTTACTATGTAATATAGCCTCTGTATTTAAAGCTAAAGGTAAGGCATAATAAATTGTAGCCCATTCGACATGACCCGTTTGTGACATAAATGCAAATAAAACTGATATAGGGCCAAAAATAATTAAGATCAAAACATCTCCTAAAGCTATATATTTAAAACCGATACCCCCGGTGTACAAAAAACTTGACGATAAACCCCCAAAATACACTAAAGCTAAATGTTCCATTTTTGCTGGAGATATGTTTGCTAATATGATGAATCCAATACAACCTGCAAAATATAAGATAGCACCCAACGATACAACTTCATCTTTCGACAATATATGATCTACAAGAATTCTATCGTCTGATTTTCGATTGTCTATGCCTTTTACATAGTCAAAGTAGGTATTCACTACATTACCAGCTCCATGCACTGATATAATTGTTAATATCGTAAAAAATAGAGTTATATAATTAAAATCCGAAGACCCTGGATATTTGTAAGCTATTGTCGATCCTAATAGAGTTGGAATTAAACTTGCACTAAGTGACCATGGTCGAAGAGCTAACACATAACTGGATAGTTTCATCAGTCCTCCAGATGTTCTTTTAGTTGGTACCGGACTAGAAGCTGCTCGTCCATTGTTTATTAAAGTTTTTTCTTCGGCTGCTAATGTTTCTGTCATAATTACGAAGTTGCCTTAATTTTATGGATTGTCTAAGTAAATTTATTTTTGAACATAATATCAAAATGAAAAGCTAGTTTGCCCTTCATTAATTCTTTCTATATTGTCATCTGTCACTGTCAGTCCATAAATTCTATCATACATGGCAAACGCACAGAACACCTTTTTAAATTTGACTTTGTGGTCAAAAATCATAAAGGTGTCTCCAGCCCGTGCCAGTGTTAAGCGTTCACACACTAGAGTGCACACCATTAAATTAAGGTCACTTACGAACTCTGTCAAACTCATAGACGTGTATATAAAATAAATGAAATCAAACTAAATCTCTTGGTTCAATATCTCTGATATTAACATAGACTGAGCAGTCTGTACAGCTAAGTCAAGACCCCATTATTTTTCGTTGATAATTGGGTCTCTGTCTTATATCAAATAAGTATAGCAGCGTCTTTTTGGTGGGTTACAGAGAGAGAGAGAGAGAGAGAGAGAGAGAGAGAGAGAGAGAGAGAGAGAGAGAGAGAGAGAGAGAGAAAGTAACGAGTTTAACTGTGCTAAAGAGAAGCAAATCAACAACCACAATGGATCTTGCGATAGGCGCGGCCGATATGCTCGGTTGAGCCAGAGTACATAGCCCAGATTATTACTTACTATGACATAGCCCCCGTGTACTACAGCTCGAACCACGGTTCGTAGACTTACTACGACCTACTAGTAAGTCTACGAACCGTGAGCTGGAACCATAGATAAATAATATAGTATATACAGAACTGGCTGGAACTCCCTATGATCGTATGCATACAAGATTGAAGCCAGTAGACGGCGCTATTTTTCGGCGGCAAAAATAAGGGGGCAAGAATTTAAAAATAGCACTTTAGTGCATATATGAATATTTGAAAAATCGTGTATGTTGGCTTTATTTATGATTTTTGACATGCAATAATAAAGTTTAGGACTTTCTTTATCAAGTTAAAACTTGTAAGCGAGCAAAATGATTGTTTTGTGTAGTACATAGTACATAAAGAGAAAATATTGACAAAGGCTATTTACTACAGAGATAGTAATGCCATTGCCTATCTTAAACATATATCTTATACATAGACGAAATATTTTAATTCACCAGTTGCCAAGAGCAAGGCTTTTTTGACAAGTGTTTTTTGTGGTAATCACTAACTCACCATTATTTTTTAAATTTACTAACCTACTAAATTCCCCAACAGAAACATAAGAATGATCGGATTAATTGTGGTTAAAATAAATATTGAATACAATCTAAACACTTCAGTTTGCGGACAATTTTCTTAATAATAAATACAAACATAAAAAATAATAAAATTCTTGAATTTAGATTTCTTATCTCCTACCAACACAATGTCAACTCTTCTGGAAACAAATTTATGTCCATTTCTATTTCGTTATTTTCCTTCTTCACACTCTAGCTTGTTAAGCCAGTAACTGCGATAAGGCCGCCACTTTTAGAAGGTGATTCGCTGTGAGTTTCGCCGGTAGCGCTCTCTCGCGGTTTGAAACTTGTACTTTTCTTGTAAAATCAGTGTAAATGAAATATGACAAAACGAGAAAAATAGATATTTATTTAAAAATACAAAATAATGAACTGAAATATTATGGTAAACTGATTAATGAACGAATACACAGAATTAATAGTAAAAGTAATTACGCCTTGTTATTTTATTCATTATAATTATAATATTTAAGATATAAGTTCTTGCGACTGGATGACTACTTACGCAAGAGGTCATTGAGAAAATTAAGAAGTTTATATGAAAATATTTAATGGTTAAAGCAAATATTTAAGGTTATAGACGCTTAAAACGTCTATATTCTTTAGTTAAAGCTTACCTTTACCTCTGTAACGTTGTAAGTTGTAATTCTTGTTTTTATTTTACATTTTTATTCTGTTTTTGCTGTTACTTTTTGTGTGCATTTATCAATTTGTTTTAATTCTTCTTCTTCTTCTTTCGTTTTATGGCCTCCACCTCTTAAATTTGTTTTAATTTTATCAAAATGGATATTAAACATTATACTGGTTTTAAGTCTATATCACATGATATCCCATTTCAACCAGCTACACCAAAAAAGGGAAAAGGTTTAGTTGATGCAGGGCATGTACGCAATGTTTCGGAATATAATAGCTTTTTAATTTTACGCCATACAAATATCATGTTTTCATTATAGGTTATTTACTTATTTTTCTCGTTGATAGCAATAATCCATTTTTCTCTTTGAACTATTTTATGCTTGGCAACAGGAAATGAATAAAATTTACAATGACTGTTGTACCCAGTATTTTCACATGTATCATATATTTTTCTTTTTGAAAAATCCATATTTGCGATTATTTGAATGTTTACAAGTTAAATGCACATAACTGCCACTAACAGCGTTGGTGAAAACTGTCAAATCCCCTCTACTCATCGGCTCACAGCGAATAGCATTGATTATAAACCAGGTAGTGGTTTATAATCAATGGTGATAGGATGTCAATTCTATTCATAAAACTACTCACATAAAATTTCATATAGCTATAGCACAGAATAATAAACAATAAGAATGCCCACTCTCCATGGAAAATTAAGTAAGCCCATCTCGTTCGCGCAGATGTTCCGCCATGTTTTAGAGAGAACCAGTGTTGTTCAGTGAAAATTATGTGGTGTGCATAGAAAAATTAACCCGGTTTAATTGACTTACGGCAATTATAGACATACTAGGTCAGTGGTTCTCAACCGGTGTTCCGCGGAACACTAGTGTTCCGCGAATTCCTTCCAAGTGTTCCGCGAAATACTCGCAATCCTACATACCATTTTGCTAAATTACTCTTTTCAAATAAATATTTTCAAATTTTAAAATAGCCACTTACGTACATTTTAATTTAATAAAATTCTGCAGCGTAAATGTACATTTGCCCAACGTGACAACACCGCGTCGGCACAGTGCACACGTTGGATTTTATAAGCGCTGAGCGCTGAGCTCCGCAGTGGCCACAGCCAATCTGAGTGTCTGAGTCATCCACGCCACAGTCTGCAACTGAATGTTGAATTTGTTACATTGCACAAACGTAATACGTGAAAATCGCTGTCAGTTTTTTTTATGATAACGTTTACGTACGGCTTATCTATCAAAGGTAAGTAATTGCATATTTTATACAAAATGTGAAGCATTCATCCGCATTATTTTGTTTAGAGACGAATAAATTAAAATGGATAAGTTCCTCAAACTTACAAGAAAAACTACTGTGGAACAACTCATAATTAATGATGCGAGCACCAGCGGAGATACTGGAACTTTACGAAGTGGGGTTGATGACAAATCGAAGCGCAGCAAAAAAATGTTGAACCGGCAATATTTGGATGAATATTTGGATTATGGCTTCATTTGGACTGTGAAAGAAGACTGTCCAATTCCCAAGTGCATTGTTTGTGGGCAGACACTCGCTAATAGCGCAATGGCTTCGGCTAAATTAAAACGCCATTTTACTACCAAACACGCTAGTGTAGCTTCAAAAAATGAAGATTATTTCAAGCGACTTTTGGAGACACAAGCTAAACAAGCGAAACAATTTGAAAGGTCGCTAACAATTTCCGACAAAGCACAAATAGCTTCATATAAGGTCGCCGAATTAATTCCTTTGAAACAGAAACCACACACTGTTGCAGAATCTCTTATATTACCAGCATGTTGTGAGATGCTCAAAATTATGTTTGGCAACGATGCTCAAAACGAAACACGGACAATTCCTATGTCGGATGATACAATAAGAAGGAGGATTGTTGATTTATCTGCAGATATTGAAGAAAAAGTTACAAATAAACTTTACAAAAAAACTTCGCATTGCAGGTGGACGAATCCACTGATATTAGTGGCAAAGCTCATTTATTAGGATTTATTCGATTTGTCGACGAAGGTGAAATAGTCAATCTGTTTTTATGCTGCAGAGAACTTACAGCACGTACAACAGGTCAGGATGTATTTGATTCCATAACGTCATATTTAGAGAAAAAAAATATATCATGGGACTTTTTCGTAGGAATTTGTACGGATGGTGCCCCTTCCATGGTAGGCTCCATAAAAGGTTTTTGTATCCTTGCAAAAAAGCGAAATGAAAATATCATATCTACGCACTGTTTCTTGCATAGAGAATCTCTAATTTCAAAAACGCTACCAGCTACTTTGAAATCTGTATTAGACCAAGTGGTTAATGTCGTGAATTACATCAAATCAAGACCACTAAAAACCCGTCTTTTTAAACAACTCTGCATCTCAATGGAATCAAAGTATGAATGTTTGTTGCTGCACACCGAAGTTAGATGGTTGTCAAGAGGCAAAGTATTATGTCGAATTTATGAACTTAGAACGGAGCTGTTAACTTTTTTCCAAGAAGAAGGTAATGACACATTTACCACATATTTTGAAAATGATGCATGGTGCACTAAAGTGGCATATTTGGCCGATATTTTTAATTATTTAAATGGCGTTAACTCAAGTATGCAAGGCAAAAATGAAAATATTTTAACATCCACGGACAAGCTGTCAGCTTTCCAGAAAAAATTGTCATTTTGGAAGAAGCGCATTTTAGAGACAAATAAAATGGATATGTTTCCACTGCTTCAGAATGAAGGTGATGAAGATAAAGAACAAGAAATCACGCATATAGTTACAGAACATTTATCACTATTAGAGGAGACAATTGCTAGGTATTTTCCATCTCTGAACGTAGAAAAATATGACTGGATAAGAAGTCCTTTTAGCACAAGTAATACAGCCAATTTCCAGTTTTCTCTGAACCAAGAAGAAGAATTTATTTCAATGTCATCTGGTCGTACTCTGAAAATGAAGTTTTCAGAAGTGAATGTTCAGGAATTTTGGATCTTGGTCCAAGAGGAATATCCACTTCCTCCCAAAAAAGCGATTAGTATTTTAATACAGTTTTCAACGTCCTATTTATGTGAATTTGGGTTCTCATCTTTAACAAACATTAAAAATAAGAAACGGGAAAGGCTGCTAAACTTAGAACAAGAAATGAGAGTAGCTCTTTCCCACATTAGGCCTGATATTGAGCAAATTTGTAAACGACACCAGGCACAAGT